TGAGTGTAAAGGGTATTTTATGGTCAAAAACTAAAAATATGTATTTTATATTGAACTCAGGGTTATATCCCTCTCCTAAAAACCATATCAGTCTAGAAGTTTGTAAACTTACTGTCCACAGGATGTACTTCCTCAATGTATTGACACAATTTCATGAAGCCATTTCAATATGCACTTCCTTGTGTCACAACTCTCACAAAGACTGTCTTCTTAACTACAATTCAGTCTGAATAATAAAACATTATCATTACCTGATGGTAACAAAGCATGATGGGATGAGTAGTCTTGAGAAATTGAGATTGCAGGACATTAAGCAGCAGGGAAAGAGATGCAAAGCACACTGGGGATCCAGGAAGTTGATGTAAGTGATGGGCAGACAGAAGGCAGTACTCACTACATAAAAGGGACTTTTTCATGTAAGCTTTGATTGCATCAAAAACAACTCTAATCAATGCTGATGTTATAACAGGATAGTATATGCTGGGACTTACAATTTCATTGAGCACCCGATGGCCAAGCATTTTGCCAAAGGATGTTTAGATCATACTACCTAGTCCAAACACCCCCTGAGCAACATTAGCAGGACCCCGCCTGCAAGCTTGCCCTGTGCATTATTCCCAAAAGGAATGTTGGACAGAAGCAGCCTTAACAGACCGTGAAGAGATAAAACTCATGTAAGTATGTGGGGCTAAAAACAACTATGTTCTCTAAATATGAAAAAGCCTGCAGGCATAGAACTTGTAACGGCAGGTGGCATTCATGAGGGAATGTGGAAAACAAGCAGAAACAAGCCAAAAAAAAACCCTGAATCTAAGTTGCAGGTTTTAGAAAGAAAAAGAGATGGTAGTGTGTGTGTGTGTGTGTGTGTGTGTGTGTGTGTACCCTGTGTTCCAGTGCGGTGCGATCGCAACAAATAGTGCATGAGCCTTTGTTTATGTGATCAATTGCGTTCATGGCACTCGCACGGAACCGTGTCATGAACGCAATGGATAGTGTGAACTGGCCCTAAAAGTACTTCCAACGCTAAAGCATGGGTTCACACCTGTAGGAAGCAATGAAAGCATGTGCATTGCATGTGTTTTTCGTGCGTTACCGTGCATTGTAATAGGACAGCTCGTTCATTAGAAATTACTGCGGATTTTCCCTGATAATACAATGTCAAACACATTCATTCTTTTGCAATCCTCTTTATTGTTAGTTTTCTCAATTTCCTGGCATTAGAAGACCTAAAAGAACCAATAAAAAAACACCCAGGGGCGCAGTGCATTTACATGAATGGTAAGAAGAATATTTAAGAAATTGGTTATATAAAGTAGGTCAGGCAAGTACATTTCTTAAAAAACATCCCCCATAAAATTCCTAAAGTGCAGTGGACGAGAGCCAATCTCGCTGGGCTAGAAGACCTGTCCAGACAAGCCCTAATCCTGAAGAAAGAGTAAAGTACTACATGCCTAAGGCCATGTTTAAGACTTAATAGGCCCATATCTACAAACACCGACCACACATGATGTGGTGTCAGGCCTACTGTGTGCGATTATACTATAAAAGCTTACGTACACACACAGGTGCCAGTCCAAATTTTTGTCACCTACCAGCACTCATTGGCAGGAACAAGGGTTGGGCAATAGACATAAAAACATATTAGATATATCTATATATAGAATTCAGGGGCCAGTCTGCCAGAACCAAGAGGATGATTTATAGGAGTCAGCTCCATTGACAGCTAGATTCAACCCTAAAAGTTGGGGGGCAGCTGTAGCACTGGCAACTGGGATTCATCCAACCCGGAACTAAGCAAAAGCCTGATGAACTTATAATGCTGGATTTTATACAATTCAAAGAGAACCGACAGGACTTGGATTTTAGCATACAACCTCTCCTTGTTTGATTAAATGGTCAGTATACAACATTAAAATGCATCTGTCTGTCTGATCAAATTTTCACCCAGATCTGCAATAGTGGAAGTATGAGCTTTGATAAATGTACCCAGAGTTCCGCTGACAGCACACCTTGGTAAATATGTGACTAGAACAAAGCCAGCCAGGTAACAGCTTGCGGAGCCTTCAAATAACAAGGGAGGGTTAGAGCTGATCAAGCACCCCGCAGGCACAATCATTTCAACTGAAGAATTATTGGGAAAGTGACTTTAAACTTAAAGAACAGACAGGTTTGCAAAAAAACCCCAAGAAACCTATCTTGAGGATTTGTATATCATATTGTGGACAAATGGATGCCCAGACTTCTCGTATGGTCTCCCAACCCCCGCTGAAATTTATGTTGGAATTATTTTATGCTCACAGTTTATACCGGTCTCACCCTGAACCAGAATTTTTTAAGATCTATATTATATATAGATGAACTTCGGGATAAGCCAATAGAGAAGTCTCAATAAAAGTCATGTGTATTCTTCCTTGAATCTTGGTGATCTTTGTGTATTTCTTCCAGATCTGTGCAGTCATCCAGTGTGAGGCTTTGTCTCTGTGCAGAGCTTCCTGTATAAAGACCGGTCAATGCTGCTCTCTCTCACCGTGCATGGTGACTGGTCTTGTAGCCGCTCCTTCCCATAGCTAATGGTACTGCTACCTGTACAAAGTAACAACTGGGTTTGCAGAAGAATCTGGTGACCAAAGTGAATTGACATCCTTTGTGGCTATTAAAGAATATATTTAAATGCAAACAGAAACAAGTATAGTGGTGTCACCACCTTCGTACTCCATTAAGATCTACAAGTCCCTCTGCCACAGTGGGGGGTGTAGTTTAGTCATTCACAGATCCTGTATATGGATCTGTGAATTAATGACGAGGCTGTAAGGGGCTAGCCACACACTGCCGTGCGGAATTCAAATGTGAAGAGATTCCTGCGGGGAGAAGAACCCCACAATTGAGGTAAGTGGGGAGAAGG